CATTGACCCTAGTTTGTGAGTTAACTATTTGCCCATAGCTGGTACCCTAACAGGTGCTACCATCCCGGGTCTGGGGGGATCTGAGAACACCGGCAATTAAGAGCTGGTTCCACGCTCCTCAAAACCTCCTTATCGGAGGCTTTGCTGTTGAATGTAGTTTATCGTCTTACCCAGGACGCGGATGTAGTTTATCGTCCTACCCAGGACTCGCCTTTTACTTGAATAAGAGTTGAAAATTATTTCTCTTTACAGTGTAAAAACTTGCTTGTGGATGCCTACCCTAGAGTCATAGTTATCGGGTTCTCGCTAGTGTCATGAATTCGATCATTACCAGATAGTCAACGTATGTGACCTCGTGCCAGACTATGATAAATTTAGTAAAGACTAAGAATGTTTACCGTAAAAAGATAGATACAGAGTTTGATCATTATTAGCTACTCAACTTACATGGTCTTGTGCCAGTCTTTACTAAGCTTTGTAAATACTTGACGCACCAACCCTAAAGCGACGATTAGTAAGCTTATCTCATAGAGCAAATAGTTAGTGTTGTAACTTCGATATTCACTGGATGCGCCTTTACTATAGTCTTGTACTAAAATAAACTAACCTTAGTAAATAACGTTGTTATAACAAATACTTGGGGACTAGAACGAGTTATGAATACTGAAAGTTATAGAATAAAGAATAAATTATGATTTTTTTCCGTCTCTTTTTCTCGTCTTTGTTTCAATTTTTTCAGCCTTCCATATCTAGTTATTATTATTTTTAATCATTTCACCCCAAGCAAGGCACTAAAGACACTAATATACAAGGGGTTAGAGAATATGAGAAACATATGCTATTAAGGAGAGAAGACAGTAAAAGAACAACAATCAAAATGACAGCAGATAACAACTGACATTGCATTTATAATTTCGAAGATCAAAGTTGACAGAGAAGCAAGAAGCCCGAAGAGAGTCTCACAAGCGAGAAGTGAGAGAGAAGAAACTCTTACCATAGAACTTACGGCTACATCTAGTCAATTCAACTGTAAAATGATTTGAGCTTGTCGTCAATCTAGTATTGCGTTTCAGTTCATAAAGTCTTGGTAACGTACAGGAAAGTTCATCCGAACAATTACCATGAACTTATTTATAGAAAAGGTACAGGTCAGCTATATTACAGCAGTGGGAAAATAACTGAACCAGAGATGCCAGGTCAGTACCAATAACATTGCAGATTCTTCTTTGGATTTTATCAAGAATCATTAAATATATAGCTGAAGCATGTGGAAGCATCGTTGAATAGAATCTTTTATAGCATACGTTTTCTGTTATTTTTAGCTGTTCCAGCACGAGCGATTTGCTCGTCCGAGTGATATAGATTCATGCTGCACCTGTAATGTTTCGTCAGCACTTTATAAAATCATCTTGCGAAATTTTTATTTCTATTGAAAATGATTTGAGGCATTATGCGTGAGCCAGCTGTGCGAACGACATGTTAACGAATGAATATTTATAATCACCAAGCAGGCAAATATAAACATATATCAGTATGTTTAAGGGTAGGTTAGTTAAAACGAACTTATATATGCACATTTGAAGGCGGTGTTTAAGTCTTTAGGAGACGTTGACTGTGTATCCTTTCTCTTAACCGAACAATTTGAAGCGTGCGTAAACACACAAACACACACACACACACATGGAGTTGAATAATTAGATTCGTGTAATATGTCAAGTTGAATAAAGAGTTGAAGCAGAAGATTGATTTGTTTTTTACGGCCTATCAATCCATTGAAGTTTATAGTAAGAAATTTTTAGAGTATATATAGATTTACTGATATAAATTCTACTAATTAACCCATAGCTGGGGGGGAACGAGTAGGATTCATACATTTCCAAGGATATTTGGTAAGTATAACGCACCCAATGGGGATTGGAACGGCTCCCGATTAACAATTCCGTGCTATTATCCATTACACCAATTGTACATCCAAGCTTACAGCACCTGGTATTCCCAAGTGGTCACCCATATAGGTACTGACTTGGCTCGACATTGCTTAACTTCAGGGAAGCGGCGTGGTCGTAAGCATATATAAGAATCACGATACAGTTTTTTTTTTGTTTGTTTTTTAGGTGGGAAAGATAATAATGATTTAGTGATACAACTCTTACTAATTAACCCATAGCTGGGAGGAGAAGAGGTGGGTTCATTCCTTTTCCAAGGGTATTTGCGCCTCAGTGAATATAACGAACCCGACTGGAATTGGAACACGGAAATTCGATCTCCAATTCCGAGCCGTTATCCCGCACATCTAAGCTTACATTGCCTGATATTTCTAAGCGGTCACCCATCTATAACTGACCAGGCTCAACGTTGCTTAACTTCAGTGATCGTACGAGAATATGTTTTTCAATGGAACAGAAAAGTGATGAAATTAAAATCTAAATTTGCTACCAGAATGTAAAGAGTAAATATTGATTTGTTCTAAGGGAAAAAATTGCTTCTCGTTTATCAGGAAAGATATCAGCCACACCAATTACTGCCGCCAGATAACTTATTACTTTAGACGTTATATTTTAGATATTTACTTTAAAGTCTTTTAGTGTTTGATTAAACAATTTTTATTTTTAACAATGTGAATTACATTAACTGGCCTGTGCATTCGAGAGTATTAATAAAGAAAATATATCCTTTGGGTAAGGCTTGAATTTACGTCCCTTCTTGAGCGGGAAACATACATTTTTTTAAAATTTACACTTGTTGAAGCTACTGAGTGCAAAGAGGTTACAGTGAGAGAGAATATGAGAAAAATAAAACATTATTAAAGAAAGAGAATATTAAAAGAACAAGAATTAAGAAGACAGAAAATAACGACTGATATTGCATTTCCATTTTTGAAGCTTAAACTTTGCTGGAAAGCAAGAAGCTGAAACGGAGTTTCACAAGCGAGAAGTGCGAGAGAATCCGTTAAAAAAAGAAAAAAAAAAGAAAAAAGAAAATAGAATGGACGTTTAAACTTCAGTTTACATAAAAAAAAAAGAGATGCAGAGACGCTAAATATTTAAATTTTGTCGTCCATGGCATCTAGATTTCTAAACTTTTATCTCTTATTTTTATCGCAATTACTTCTCATTATGCCACATTGTATGAATGATAATGTTGTGAGGGAATGAGATATGTTTATAATACTGGTTAGAGGATTCTAGAATTTGATCATTTCCAATACATTTTCATCATTATATTTTTTTATGAGAACCGCTTTTAGACAAAGGAAAAATGTTGTGCTGGTGCAATAATTTTGTCTCTCTAGAAATATAAACAAGAAAAAAAAAAAAACAAAAACAAAAAAAAATGAACCAAAGATTACAGAGGAAACAAATCAATCTTATGCATTCCTACAGATAAATAGCTGCTGCATAAACACTTGTGCTATCAGTAAATTATCACCATTTTATATCTTTAATTTCGCGCATGCGCGTTGTTTGTTTTTGATTTTGTCAACTGGACAGTATAGTAAGGTCAGTTGGGCATCGTCTGTGAGAAAAAGAGCACGATGACGAAATTTACTAAAAACAGCATGCTGTACTGCTTGGCATTCGGACCGGAAGCTCCAATACGAACATTTCACAGTGTTTGGGTGAGGACGATACAGAAGATTTGAAAAGAGTTGGACGAGTCTAATGGTGATTACGAAGGTACGGCAGCTCGGAAAACTCACTTTTTTTTTTAATAAGAAAAGAATACCTGAGCTTGTTGGTGAGGGTCTCAGATTCAATACGGAAGTCTATATCAAGTGCCTGGAGGAGGTAGTGCTGTTCTGGATCAAGGAGGTAGCCGCTGGGAGACCCTATATCTGGCAACAAGATCCTGCACCATGCCACAGAAGTAAGAGAACTCAATCATGGCTGTCAGACAATTTCTGCGGCCACATCACCCCTCACACCTGGCCACCTATCTCCCCAGACTAAAACCCCTTGATTATTCTATGTGGGGCGTAGTTGAGCGAAAGACAAACAAAACTCCTTGAAACAACAAAGATGAACTGAAGACAAGGATTATGGTAGCATTCACCAATTTACAAAGAATTTACAGAAGAATAGCAGGAGATTCCGAAGTCGTCTGGAGGCCGTGGTTGAATCCAATGGCGATTTTATTGAATAAATTTATAATATATTATATAATAATAATAATGAAAAATAATAAAAATAAAATCAAAGATTAAAGTCAAAATGAAATATCAGTGTTGTTTTCATTTTGCATAATTTAGACGACAATTTATCCTTAGCACCCTATATATATATATATATATATATATATATATATATATATATATATATATATATATATAATAATAATAATAATAATAAAAGCTCAAACACTAATATTCCATGGTTATAATTTATTACATTGGAATCGTAATCACGATCCAATTCATCAAACCTACAAATTCAAAAAGAAATCGAAAAATAAAACTCCGGGTATAAAAAATAAAATTTTAGTAAGAGTGTATGTGTATGTGTATGTGTGGGAAACAAGTGTGAGAGGAAAATGTCTGAAAGCTCTAGAGGGTGTAACAGAAGAAAGAAGAACAGGGAGGCCTAAAAGGTGAAGGGGGGGGAGGGGGGGACTAAAATTTAACAGAGAAAAGTTTTAAAGAGAGGAGTTAAATAACGGTCTAAATGAGTGAGATACAGATAAATATGAATTATATTTTTGCTTGGGCTCGGTGTGAAATCCGCAAGTATCCCAGCCGCCGAGTAAACATATATAAACAGACTGAAATAGGGGGATAGATAGATATGAACAGACATACAAGCAGAGAGAGAGAGAGAGAGAGAGAGAGAGAGAGAGAGAGAGAGAGAGAGAGAGAGAATGTAGCATCTTAACCATACCGATAATATTCATTTCTTGTTAATGATCGTCGAAAGTACTTTGGCAAAAAAAAAAAAAATAAAATAAAATTAAATCTTGTTGATTGAATTTAACAAAACATGTTTAAGTGAATAGTTGCTATCTAACTAGGCTTCATTAGATAGATAGATAGATAGATAGATAGATATATAGATAGATAGATCATGAAAAAAATGAGATAGATAGATCATGAACAGACTTAGATACATAGATAGATGTGAACAGACTGAGATAGATAGATACATACATACATACATATATAGACATACAGACAGACAGACAGACAGATAGATAGATAGATAGATAGATAGATAGATAGATAGATAGATAGATGTGAACAGACTAAGATAGATAGATAGATAGATAGAGAGATCATGAACAAACTGACATAGATCATGAACAGACTTAGATGTGAACAGACTGAGATAGATAGATAGATAGATAGACAGACAGACAGACAGAGATAGATAGATAGAGAGATGTGAACAAACAAAGATAGATAGATAGATAGATGTGAACAGACTGAGATAGATAGATAGACAGATAGATGTGAACAGAGATAGATAGATAGATAGATAGATAGATAGACAGACAGACAGAGATAGATAGATAGAGAGATGTGAACAAACTAAGATAGATAGATAGATAGATAGATAGATAGATGTGAACAGACTGAGATAGATAGATAGATAGATAGATAGACAGACAGACAGAGATAGATAGATAGATAGAGAGATAGATGATAAAAGATAGAAGATAGAACAGATAGATAGATAGATAGATAGATAGATAGATGTGAACAGACTGAGATAGATAGATAGACAGACAGATAGATAGATAGATAGATGTAAACAGACTAAGATAGATAGATAGATAGATAGATAGATAGATAGATAGATAGATAAGAAGAGATACGAAGAAACTTGGATAGAGATGTTAGGCAGATATTTCCGACACTACCTATAATGTAGAATGTAGAAATCTTCTGTTAGTTAATACAAGCTATTTTGAAGACATAGAAAACAGAACTATATAAAATCCTTTTTGTGATCCATTTTTTTTTTCGTTTCGTTTCCCTTTACCATTTCCTAGAACAGAAATGACCATTCCCGTTCAACCCCCACCCTCTCCAATCAGGCATCCATCACCTGACCTCACGGACCTTTTTCCAAATTACAATGATAAACCTTCCATTAATATTTCTCTTCACTCGCTTTCGTCTTTTTATTTTTCTTTATTCATCTAATAAGCCGTTCTGCTTTTTAGACGAAGGAAAAAAATCTCTGTAAAAAGCCCCCCAAAATAAAAAAATAATAAAAAAAAAAACTAAGTGACGCACCCTATTTCTATCCTTTTCTTTTTGCACTCCCACCCACAGTTCTGTTTCACCCTCATCACAACCCTTGTCTTCCAAATCACATTTTTTTTATTGATGGCCGCCATTAATCTACGCTCGGATCTTCAGTTTTTCCTTGACCATTCCTGCGTCCACATATTCCAATGAAACCCTTCCCCACCATTGTCCGAGCAATTTTCCTTTTGCTTTCTAGCAAAAAGAAAAAGAAATAATATAAAAAATAAAAAATTAGGTGGGAATTCCAAGGTTTGGTCATTTCTGTTCGATAGACAATTGTATTAGTTATTTCCTTCTTCATTTGTTTTGTTTGTATTTCATGCTATTTTCATCGTTCATTTTTCTTTTATGCTGACTAGAAAGCAAGCGTCTACCTCATCCATCAGAAGTCTCGTTAAATCTCGTTCTCCTCATCTTCAACTCACTTACCCTTTCTTCTTTTGTTTTTATTTTCTTTTTTGACCAGTTATTTCTGTGTAACAAAGGCATAAAAAAGTACTTCTTACTTTTATTTCGACATTCTAATGTCATCTTTTTAAGTCCTTATTTTATTCTATTGCAACAAACACTAAAATGTTCTCTTAGTTCGACTCTTTTTTTCTTAAAAATATACATTCTTATTTTTCTTTTGTTGGCTTCTATGCCTCAAGTAATCTTTTTTATTATTGTAATTTACTTGCGCGGTTCTTAAAATCGGACTCACTACATTAACGAATTGGTTTGCGAAAATTTTGCTAATTATCGTGCTGTCATAAGCAATCAATCCTCTTACGTGTAGTTATTTACTAAGTTTAGTCTGACACAAGGCTATAAATGTAGAGCATTCAATAAACATGAAAATCATTACAGTAGAAATCGAGGCACTATTTAATTTAAATGATCCGCTCTTAAAAATACTTGACAATTTTTAAAACAATTTTTGTAGATTAACATTTTTATAGTTGATAAATATTTCTTTTATTTATCATTTTAGGAGCTGTTCATAATATACATAAAGTGTCAAATCGACTTCTAACTTCTTAAAGAGTTATCTGTACTTTGTTTTTATTGATATTTGTTAAATTTGAAACTGCGCTATTGCCACGGATAACTATTACGAATTGGTAAAATAATGGCAACATCAGTAGTACGCAGTTACCAATGGTGTAAACACAGTTTACATGACATTTGTAAATAAAAACAAAGTATAGTTAATTCTTTAAGAAGCTAGAGAATTATTTGACATTGTATTTATATTATGAACAGGATGATAAGAACCAATAGGAAACATTTATTAATCTAACATGTTTTACTTTTATTAAAGCTTCATCAGTGATTGAAAGAAAACAGATAGAACTTTGGTATTTTCAATTTTGTTTGATTCTATTCTCATTGACCAATGAAAATATCAAAGTTTTGTCTTTTTGTTTGTTTTTTTTCTCAAGCTTTGACGAAGCTTTAATAAAAATGAAACATGTTAGATTGATATATATTTCCTATTTGTTCTTTATCTTATCATTCTGTCGGATTGCGATCCATATTTGATCTACATTTGATCTTTAACAGGATAACCTTCTAAAATTATTTAAAAACAACAATATTTTTCTATCCTGACAAATGCTTAAGGAATACGTCAATTAAGTTACATACGTGATACACGTTTTGGCGATCATGTATCTTTTGATTCATGACTGACTAGGTAGGAAATTTTTTCGCAGTAGGCTGCAGATTCTGTCTGTGGTAGACTGTTGCCAATCAGGGCGATAGGACCCAGTATATCTTGTTATTCAACCCATAGCTGGAGAAAGAATAGATGGATTCATACTTTTCCCAGGGTTATTTGCGCGTAGCTGAATGTAACGAATCCTACTGGAAATCGAACACGGTTCTCCGACTTCTCATTTCGATCATTCTCTATCCATTACACCATACCAAACGAGGAAGGTGTAGTGAATGCTAATTTCTTTCTAAAAAAAAAAGAATATTCCCCCTCCTCATTTTTCCATAGAATTTTTTTTATGACCGAACCGCTAACTTTATGTATTACTACCTCTCCATTTGGGAGATAAGCTTGCTAAACATTTACACCGTGTGAAGGCGGCCAAATACTTACTGAGCTTGGCATTGACCAAGTAAAAACCTACAATAATTGAGCGCTCGGTGAGGATAGAACTCATGATTGTATTAAGGTTTCTGTTAAATTAGCTCGTACATCATTACATTGCATCAAATTGGTCAAATATTTACTAAAGCTTAGTCTGGCACGAGGCAAAGTAGCTGGTTTCCCACTGAGGATCGAAATCATGACAACGAATTTGCCAGCGTCAGATTTTTCTGACAACTATATTAAGGTAGGCTCCCGAGTCTCACATTATAGATACACACACACACACACACACACACACACACACACACACACATATATATATATATATATATATATATATATATATATATATATATATATATATATATATATATATGTGTGTGTGTGTGTTTTTGTTCATCTTGCTATTTTTCTTCCATTTGTTCATTTGGATCCATTCCATTCTTAGTTCTTCTTACTATTACCTTTTTATTTTGTGTTTCCATTTTTTTTTCCACGGCATTTCGTTTCCGGTTTTAAGTACCTCTTTTCAACATATTTGCTTCTCTATAGTTTTCTGTTTCTGGACTTTTCTGTCTTATAATAAATAAAAAAACACTTCTCGGATTTTACAAGTTTCCTTCCACTTTCCTCATGACCACAACCATTCTCTTTCTTTCCTTATTTTTCTTCTTCTTTTCTATCACTATCAAATTTCTTTTTTTTATCACCTATCAGCTACTTTCTTTCTTTGTTTTCTATCACTATCCAAATTCTTTCTTTCTTGTTTCTTTCATTTCTATCACCATCCAAATTCTTTCATTTCTATCACTATTCAATTTCTTTCTTTCGTTTCTGTTACTATCGAAGTTTTTTCATTTCTATCACTATCCAAATCCTTTCATTTCTATCACTATCCAAATTCTTTCTTTTGTTTCTGTTACTATCGAATTTCTTTCATTTTTTTTTTTTTTTATTACAGTTCATTTTTTTTTCTAACACCATCCAATTTCTTTCTTTATCTTCTATCACTATCCAATTTATTTGTACCTTTTCTATCATTATTTTGTTTCTTTCTTCATAATTATCTTTTCTCATACACTTTTTCTTCTCGTTTTTTATCCAAATTCCCTTTCCATTCTCTTCCTCCATTTTCGTCCCATGATCATGATCTTCTTCTTCTTCTTCTTCTTCTTCTTCTTCTTCTTCGCGTGAGTGATTTTACTCTAATCTGCCTCCCATAATTAGTGGGTGGTGGCAGGTATGGTGATGGGATGGCGCTAGATCTACGCTGATTCCACCAAAATTCTATAAAAGTAATAGTAGTCGCGATCATGGTGCGGAATTAGTGGCAGTGGTAATACTGAGAGTAACCACGCTGAGGTATTGGTATTCGTTGTATTATTATTTGTAGCAGTCGTAAGAAAACGATGAAGAAGTAGAAGAAGAAGCTTTCCTTGCAATCTTGCGTTGGTCAGAAGAGTCGACCCGTGCAAAACTATGCCAATGGCACCCTGGGGCTGGTGATATGCGGCTATCAGTCCAGGGCAATGAATGTGAAAAGTAGTATGCGAGAGAATGAGGAGAGCAAGGAAGGGGGAAGGAGAGTAAGGATAAATTTAAGTAGGAGTTTTCGATAAAGGTATGGAAGGGCTGTAGTCCTGGCTGTAGGCAACTGCTGCTACCGCATCCATTCTGTCCACCATTGCATGTACTACTGTTCCTTCTTACCATTTACAGCCCCAACCCTGACATTCACATACCAATTGCACCATCACGTCCTCAACCGCCACCCAACACTGCAGGTCGCCCCATCCCTGACATCTTCAGCGCCCCTTCCATTATTCTAATCTCCTTCCCACGTCCACTGCTCTCAGTAATGACTGTTTTAGCTTCCTTAGTCTTCCTTTTCTGTTTACTACTTACTAACAAGTCTTGTACAAACTATTAGTCATCCGAACGATTTTCCCTATCGTGCGCCCATCGTAACTAAGAAAGAAGATGGTAAAGCAGCAATGGCTTACCTTTATTATCGACCAGCAAGCTTACTTGGCGTTGCCTGGGTTTAAAGTGACTGCAGAAGATCAGTATTAATCTTCATTTGTTAATTTTATTTTGTCAGATCCGTTGAGCAAACTATACGTTAAAGAGAAATATCGGTAAAGACAAAAAAAGAAAAAATGCAAGACAGAAAAAGTTTGTCAATATTCGTCGTGTTATGAAAAATTCCAATTTTCCAAAAGTTTGCTTCAGATCAAAGTGTAGTTTCTGTTGCATTAAAACGCGTTTTCTTTCTATTACATCTTTACATATCAAAATTCAAAAGAGAAAACCGCGAATATTTCATTTTATATCAATGAAGTGAACTTAAAGTTTTATTCGAAAGACCAAAGAAGAAATTAGATAACTTAATAATAAAAATGTAAGAGAGACATTATTTACAAATATTTAGACTTAGAGAAAATGCAATTTATTTTGTAGGTGTGCATTAAAAAATATGGAAAGATTTCTTTTAGCAAACTTTTAAAATAATACATTATATACATTTTTACAAGTATTTTGACTGGTTGTTCGAATTTATGAATATAATTAGCAACATTTATTTACTCAAATGCTTTCAGGCAATTTGGTCATCTTCAGGGAATAAAATTGTTTTTTAACAAACGTAAAAAGACATACAGAGTTGAAGAGCATCAAAATAAAGTTATGAAAAACGCAAAGACTTATCTTGATTGAAAACAACATAAAGAATGTTAAAATGGCTGAAATAAGGAGAAAAAAAAGACAGACAAATACATTTCTAAGAAAATATGTAATATTCATTAAATATTAACAGTGATTTTCACAAGAAAATTTAATGGAGTACACAAATAACAGAATGTATGAATATATATATATATATATATATATATATATATATATATATATATATATATATATATATATATATATATATATGTAAACAAATAAACATACACATTGTATAAATATAAATATATATATATACATACATAAATACATTTATAATATATATATATATATATATATATATATATATATATATATATATATATATACAGTGTTACATACACAGCATAATATATATAAAATTATTACATAAACAAATATATATATATACATATAGATGCACAAAATATATGCATATATATACATACATTATATATATACCCATATATATATTCACATCATCTATCTATCTATCTATCTATACTATTACATATATATATATATATATATATATATATATATATATATATATATATATATAACAAATATATATACATATACAAACATATATTCACACCGTATACATATATACATATATCATTTATATACACATATATTCTCATATATACTCATATACGTACATATATATAAACGCATGCACATACTATCATCATATATGTAAATATATATCCATAAACATAATCACATACATGCAAAAAACATACTCACATGTAAATATATACCAATATACAAGCACACATATAGAAATACATCTATATACACAAACACATTATATATATAGAGACATTATATATATATAAACGTATAACTTACAATATTATATATATATATATATATATATATATATATATATATATATATATATATATATATATACATAGATATATATATATATATATATATATATATATGTACATATATATTTATTTAGCAACATATATATACATATACATATATCTATATACAAAAAGATATCTTATATATACCATATACTTATTATATATAAATATATACACAAATATATATATATATATATATATATATATATATATTGATTGATTGTTAGAAAACAAGATGGCAGCATTGCGCCATGGCGTATGTAATTAAAGCCAAAGCTTTTCCTTTTCAAAAATAGTTATTATTACAAAAAGACGAAAAAGTGGTTTTCGTTATTTCGGAACGTGGAATAGCACCACCACAACTATGAACAATAATAATAATAGTGATAAAAACAGCCAAAACAGGTTGTTAGGTTTTAATGTCGATATTTATTTAGCAATTAGTTTGATTAATCAGATTAAATAACTTTTCACAAGAATGAGAATAAGACAATCGATTATCTTTATCACAATATTATAAACTAAGGAAAGATGTTTACATATAATCAGGGGTTATTTATGAGGAGGACGGAAAGAGAATATTAAGGCACACATATATATATATATACATATATACACAAAAACATTAATTTAAGTAAGATTATATGGTAAGTTTCGGATATATTATTTAAGTTTTTATTCAGATAATGGTAAGTAACACATACCTTTTATGAAATATGAAACTGTCGTAACATATACCTATTGAGAGTACATTTCATTAAAAACTATGGAAAGTTTACATTGAGGAATGATTACATTTAAGAAGGTTTGAAAATATGTTTTTGTTGGTAGCAAGTAATTCAACATAGATTATTTACTGCTAATACAAACAAGCATACATATATATATATATATATATATATATATATATATATATATATATATATATATATATATATGCACCTAAAATATAAATATATGAATAATATATACAAACCTATATATATATAAATGAATATGATATATACATGTATATATATATATATATATATATATATATATATATATATATATATATATATATATATATATATAATACACATGTATATGTATTATATATATAAAGATAAACATATATACATGAAATACATATATATATACATATGTATATAATAAATATATATAATATATACATATATAAATATATATTATATAATATATACAAATATATATAAATATATATAATATATACATATATAAAATATACATATAAGAAATAATATATACATATATATATATATATACACATATATATATATTTATACATATATACATATATAAATATATATATATAAATTCGTATATAATATATATATATACATATATATATATATATATATATATATACATATATATATATATATATAATATATATATAAACAAAATATACATATATAATATATATATATATAATAGATTCATATATATATAATTTATACATATCTATATATACAAATATATATATCATATATAATATATATATATATATTATATATAAACATACATAATATATACAATATAAACAAATACATAATATATACATATATAATATATTATATATATATATATATATATATATTATATATATATATATATATATATATATATATATATATATATATATATATATATATAATGTATATACATAATATATATATATATATATATATATATATATATATATATATATATATATATAAATATATATATATATATAATATATATATATATATATATATATATATATATATATATATATATATATATATATATATACATAAATGCAACATATATATACATATATATATAGACATATATATATATATATATATATATATATATATATAATATACATATATATATATATATATATATATATATATATATATATATATACATAAGTATATATT